TAACCCTTCGCTGGCGCCATGCTCCCGCCCGGCGAGGATCGAGGTGCGTTGGCTGAGCGGGGCCGGGCACGGCGCTGGCACGCAGCAGGGTGTCTCGCCCTAGCCCGTCGCCCCGAGGGACGGCTGCACGGCCCTGCGGGGTTGGTGTGAGGAAACGGGGCTGAGGCCCCTGGATTCGCTCCACTTGTGCCTCTAAGGGCACGTCTACACGGCAGCGGGGAGCGTGCGCCCCAGCCGGACTAGCCAGCTGCACCTGAGAACAAACCCCCCCAGCCCCCTGTGTACAGGTGCAGGCAGGTACCTGACCTGCTGCCCGTGGTTCTGCTGCCATTTTTCACATGCCAGCGCGTCTGCCCAGTGTGGATGGCTCCTAAGAGCCAGCACCAAACCTGTAGGGCAAGCGCATAACTCCAAACAACCATCAGGCCCTTTCTGGGGCCATGTACAGTGCCTAGCGCACAGGGGTCCTGTGGGCCCTACAATAACAGAGAGTCACAACACTCACTGAGGGGGGGAAACACCCCCCCATGCTATCTCCCTTCTCAGAAGCCCCTGCCCTCGGTGAGCAAACAGAGTGGCTCTGGGCAGAAGAGAATTCGCTCCCAAGCCCCCTTCTGCAAATGCAGGTGGTCCGGGAAGGCCCCTGTGCGCCGTATGGAGCGGAACACGCTGCAATTATTCCAGCCTTTGTTTGCTTTCACGGTCCGATTCTTTTTCCTTTTAAAGGCGTCTCACGCTGGGCATTGAACGCTTTCAGGTGGTGGTGGTGTTTTTTTAAGGTGGTTTTGCCCAGCTCCGGGCGTTTGCTGCTGCGGGCTGGGATCAGGGCTGAACTCGCGAGCGGGACGGGCCACAGTGAGCCCTTGGGTGGGGAGAGCACCAAGGAAAACCTCTCCTTGCAGTCAGTGCTGGCCCCGGGGCGGGGCAGGGGGCTCACTAGGGGACGCTCTCCCCTGGTGGTCAGTGCTGTGCTGAGGGAAAGGGGGGTCAGCACTTGCCCCAGTGGGGTGCTAGGGGGCGCTGTGCTGCGGGAGCAGGTTAGGGGCCTGCTCCCCTCCCAGTCAGTGCTGGCTTGTGGTGCCGAAGTGCATGGGGGGCTGTCTCTCCATCCGGGGCATGTTCCAGGCTGGCGCTGGGAGGAGGGGGTACAGCCCTGCCCTGTGGATAAGCCCCCCCCCCATGAGGGCAGGGGCTCCCCCCACCACCAGGGCTCCCCCCTCAGAGCCCAGCACAAGACTGAGGTCTCTGTTCCCAAGCCCTGGCTGGAGCCCAGCCGAGACGTGCTTGTCCCTGCCTGGCCGGAGCCCTGAGTGTGATGCATCCTGACAGGTCGGGAAGCTTCCCAGCTACCCCCAGGTGAGAGCCGGGCCTCAGCGCAGCCCAGAGCCCTGGCCAGGGGCCAGCTCCATCCACAGCTGCTCCCAATCTGTCAGCCAGGGAGGCTGGTGAGGAGAGGGGCCCAAACCACAGGGGGGGGGGCTGGGCTGGTGCCGGTGAGGGAGGTGGGCGTCAGGTATGTGCTCGGTGCTGCAATGAAGGACTCACTATGCTGCCTCCTAGCACTGCCCTTGCAAGATTCAAAGTGCACGTGCCC